ATATAGGGCTTTTGTGAGTCCCAGTTATCGTTCCCACAAGGATCTTTGCGTTCTAACTTGAAATAAATTGGTAATTGCTAAAAGAACTAAAAATAAAAAATTAAATTAAATGCTACTACTATTCTCAACTAGTGTACTGAAAATGTTTTTGTGGAAATTTTCTCTTCTTAAAACAGTGATTTTAGTTGGTGAAGGATCTTTAACTACTGCCTAAAAAATTACTTACTTGAAAGACTTGCAAACTAATTTGTTTTTAATGATTTTCTTTTAAATTTTAAAACAGAAAAATAATTTCAGATTTGAATGAAAATAACAAGTGACATAAATTGGTTTTAAAACAGAGTTTAGAAGTGAGTTGAGTTTTCAATTTCCCCTTCACTCAAACGTCATTAGGATGCTTTAATATAAAACAGAAAATGCTTTCAGCTTAACGAAAATACTAGAGTAATTGTTGTTTCCCAACATCAATTTTCTTCCACTGACAACAGTTGGCATATCTCTATGTCACTGTTGGCTTAGGACTTTGAGACACCATTTTCACAAGTTACATGGGGGTAACTCCATCCCTGAAGCCATACCCATTGAGAGAGATTTTTCTCTCAACTTTCCATGTGCTCTCAGTGGGGTCTAGTGTGAGTTATTTCCCAATACTCTCACACCACTAAGAGCTGACTATGTGTGATCATCACATAACAAACTCAGAAATAAACATGCACAGTAAACAAGCTGAAAAACAACCCTGTAAACATTAAACCATCATCTACTAACAGTGAGTTCTGGGTACTTTATCCAACCCAACTCTCAGAAAAATTAGCTCATCACCACAGGTTGATGAGCTAAAATACAACAAGTGTTCATAATGAAAACAGAAACTTTAAAATGTACTGGAAATAAAAAAACTCAGGAACTATCAACAGCCGATAGTCCTGACCACAGTGCTCATAAAATTTACAAAATAAAAATACTACAAATAAAGACAGAAAAACTAAAAATATTCCCAATGAGCAGATAAATAAAATCAGCGAAGAGAAGAGAGGTAGGAAGAGAATGTCCTACAAAATTCCCTTTGTCCCTTTCTTATAGCTGCTCCAAAATCAGCTCTCCCAAACGTACGCTCCTTGCTCCCATCGATCGTGGGTGTCCCTTGCACGATTCAGCAACACACTCCAAAAGCAGCTCCAGTCACTAACGATCTCCAGCTCATCAACTCTTTTGGATATTTCTGTATTGAACCAAAAATCGATTAGGTCTTGTGTGGGTTGGTTCGATTCAAGAATGGAATCGTGATGGAGGGTTAGGGTTCTGTGTCTTGAGTGAAAATCAGAAGGTGTTTCGGTGAGGGGAATCTGGAAGGAACGGTTGAGATGAAGGTCTAGATGGAAAGGGGTTTTCTTGGACGGTTTTGAGAGCTAGGGTTTTTTTTCTCTTCTTTCTTTGTTTCTGATCTATCTCTTACGATTCTGATCTGTCCCTTTTTGCTCCTCTTTCTTTTCTTCTTTTCAATTTTTTTTTTTCTTTCCTTCTTTGGGCCGCTGATGGATTAAATTTCCTGGCCCATTCTCTTCTTGTCTTCTTTTCTTTTCTTCTTTCTGATTTGTCTTTTCTTTCTTTCCTCATTTTTGGGCTTCTGATCAGCAAAATAATGGCCCAGTTTTCCTTTAGTCTTTTTGCATAGAGAATCATAACCAATTGGGCCTAAAACACAAAAGAAATCAGCCCATTGACATTTTTAACCAACACAAGACAATTCACACAAAGTTGGGATATATTATTCAAAAAATCAATTCATTTCCCTTCATTTTCAATATAATCCATATGTTCTAAGTCTCAATTAAGAGACTTATCAGGATGTTTGTGGGATTTTCCCATTGAACAAGATACACAGACAACGGATAATTTATTAATATGAATAGAAGTTTTACATGATTGAAGTACAAAGTGGAAAATTTTGTAGCCGGATGAACTAACATGATATGCTATAGCTGAAAATTATTATTGGAAAAGATGAGGCATGGCCACATGCATTAAAGGGATTTGCTGTGCTGGAAAATGATTTAGAGAAGGTCTAATATTCTCAAATGCGTATTAGCCATCTTTAAGCCTTTCTAAAAGGATTACCTCCTCGATAGCTTGGGATTTGACAAAAGGACATCCAGGGTAAAACTCAAAAAACACAAGTTATGTTTAGCAAATTTTGATACATTATTCAGATTTTTTTGATATGGGGAACATAAAGAAGATTAGGAAGAGTGAAAGATTGTGGACTAGAATGAAAAATAGAATGTCCAATGTGATTAATTCTCAAACTTCAATTATTTCTCATTTGAACCCAATTAGATCTCTCATAAGTCATAAGGCAACTTTGTAATCAAGTTTCCAACTTCTATAGTGAGGTGATTAGTTGCCCCCCGAATCTGGATACCAGTCTACATTCAACAATCTCTGAGTTGGATAACATTGCTTACACGAAGAACTTAGAATTGTGCATACGAGCTTTGATTTAGAGGTGGTTGATTAGCAACAATAGTAGTATACTATTGATCAAACCAATACTGACAATACCAAGTTTGATGCCAAAACATGCCCCAAACTTGACATTGAGGTCATGAACCTGGCTTGTTATTATTTCAAGATGTCTCTTTTTTCCAATTCTGCCACAGTTGCCGTTCATTGCCTTGATCTCCTCTACCAGCATAATAACCCTTTTTAAAATTTCCGGGGTTTCTTCCTCTGTCATGATTTCTTGAGCAAAATTCAGGATTGTACATTCTATCCTATTACAATCTTATAGATCAAAATGTCCAATCATATATTGATATATTAATATAGAATCTGTTTGCCTTCTCTCTCTTAAGTATCTATGGGGAAGGTATCCTAAAGATCAGTGGATCACTGTGCACAATAATACAAATGACATAGTAGATGTGTGCACAATGACAAGCTAAGAGACAGGGTTTATAATGTATACCTTATTGGCTTAACCCCTTATTTATAGATGGATTACATCGCATAAGTGAACTTCTGGGGCTTTTAGGAGTATTAGTATTAGGGGTACAATTGTTGACCCATTACTGTCATAGTAGGATTAGTATAATTAAAGAATATTTCCTTAGTTCTCTCTTAGCTGTTAGCCCTATTTGAGCCTTCTAGAATGTGGGCCTTTATCATGTCCATAACATATTCTTAAACTAAGGTCTGAGAGAAGCTCATGTGAGCTACATTGGTTTATGAAACTTACTGATCACCAATCACCATTATGATGTTTTCTATGCCTATCTAATCTTTCTTCTTGAGCCACGATCAATGCCTGCATCAATTTCAGACACTTTGTATGTGGATTAGAGTCATCAGACCTTGATATGATAGAGGTAACAAAAGAATCATTATCTTCATTCAAGCAATCAAAGATTATCTCAATTTGGTCTTCAGCACTAGTAGGTGCTCCAACAGAAGCAAATGCATGATTTTGATCTAGAGAAGGAAAGTAGTAATTGATGATTCCTTCTTGATACCTTTCTGTTTTGCTTTGATATGTTTGATCATAGCTCGAGTTTATGATGCAAAAAGTCCTTCAGTTTGTGCTGAACTTGATATGAATACTTACAACCCACAATTCTTATGGGGAGTGCTTATGTCATCAAAACTAAGAGCCAAGATAACAAGAGATGATATTCTTGTTGTTCCTAGTTGAGAAGTTCTTCTGAGTAATTCCCTTGCTTTTGTATTAAAAAAAAAAAAAATTCCCTTGCTTTGCATCTTTTGTTGATGGATTACGCCAGCTCCATGAATAAAAACTTGAAGCCATGATTTACATGTAGTGCCTGCTACTTCTATGTATTTTGGAATAAAGTGTGCGAAAGTAGTGAGCCCCATTGTTGAAGCTATGATACCATGAAACTATTAAATACTCGATTTTTTTTTTTGGGAAAAGTTCACCTATGTTCCTGGTTTGCTTCAGAATCATTTATGTCCTGTGGTCTTTTTTCTATCACATATGTCCATGTGCTTGGTAAAAAATAAGAAACCACAGGGGTATAAGTGATAAAAAAACATACCCTTTTACAAACCACAGGGGCATATGTGATAAAAAAAAACCCCAGGGACATAAGTGATTCTGAAGTAAACCACAATGGCATTGGTGAACTTTTCCCTTTTTTTTTAAGCTCAAGGATTTAGCCAAAATTTTTTTATAAAAGTTCAGAGTTTTTTTTAAGTGTTATATTTATCTCATTCAACATGAGATAATTCATCTTTCTACACACACATAACAAAAGTGGGTCCCACATTTATTTTTTTTTCTCTCCAATCATTTATAGGTCACTCTTATTATTTTGTTTCCCTACCATAAAATAACTTATCTATAAGAAAAAGATTTCCCCTTCTTTTTAATGAATAGATGTACATCAGTTTTTAGAAAAGAAATTGAAATTACTTTACCAAATACCTTATTTTTAATTTGAGTTTTAAAGTAATTTTTAAATAAAAAATATTATATAATAACCAAATAATTTTCATTTTATTTTAAGTTTTTATTTCTAACTTTAACTTAAAAATAAAACATATGCTCTTGAAAAGATTATCTTGGAAAAGGAGATATGCTTTTATAGTGTTGCAATCAAGTCATGCTTAACAACTTTTTTTTCTTTTGGAATTTGTTAACAGTTTTTACCAGATAAAAATATTGAGATTAATACAACACTAAAATGATATCATTTTGGGATTTTAGAAAAAAAAAATACAGTATATTTTGATAAAATTCATGATACAAGAGAAAAGTAAAATCCTTAAAATATCTAAAATTATCTCATGTTATTTTCCCCTAAAATATCATAAGTGAACCTTCCTATGTTAAATGTCTCGTTTGAACTTTGGGCCGTGTAAAATTCAAAGATGGGCCTTGGACCGTAGCGTGGCCTGCCAAACACAAATCGCAAGCCGACGTCGTTCACTGACCAAATCAGAGAGTTAAGACGCAAATTTTTTTTTTTGTTGCCCCTTTCGCGAAATTCTTGCGTTGTTTTGTAGAAGAGGCTTAATAGCAGGCAAAGAGAAAAACAGTAGAAGAAGAAGAAGAAGAAGAAGATGTTGAGGGTTGCAGCTAAGAGGCTTCATTCTCTCTCCTCCACTCCATTCAGGGTCAACCACGCCGCCTCCGCTATCCTCTCTCGGAGCCCCGTCGCACCGTCATCTTCTTCCGAGGAACGTGGATCCGACCCGTTTTCGCTCCGTCCTGAATTCTTTCTTCCCTTCAGAGGTTAGGGTTTCCCGTCGCCCCCATTTCATAATTTTGATTAAAATTGAGTTCGAAACGATTCGTTTCGCTTTTGTTTTTTGTTTGGTGCGTTCGATTCATTGGCTCTTAGGGTTCTTATCTGCATCACATGTAACGACTTATACCCTTGATTGGATGCTTTGTTTGTTTTGGATATTTGTGGTTATGTTTGAAGGTAAATTTTTTATGAAATCGATGTATTAGTGGTTGATTTACCTAAAACGTTGATTGGTTTTGGTGAGATTTGAGCTTTTAGCTTTGGGAAGCGTTTCGGTTCGTCATTGCAATCTTATTTTAAGATCAAGCATTCGCTTTGGATGATAGTTCCAGATTTTGAAGTTTTTTTTTTTGGGGGGTGTTGGAAGAAGGATAGAAGATGGCGTGGGAATCGTTCTCTTATTTTCCTCTTGGAATTGTGAATCGGAGTCGTTCTTCTTTTATTTTTGGGGTGGATTTTGGTTTTAATTTATATGTGCTCTTGTCTCCCATTATCAGTCATTGAACTACTTGTTGCTAAATGTTCTGTCTCTGGTATATTCTTTCATTCTGATGGAAGTTTAAGTTGTTGTGCTTTTATGATTAAAGTTTAGTTGTTGTTCGATGTTAGAGTATATCAAAACTTGAAGGGGCATCTGTGGTAGTAGACAGTTTTTTACTCTATTGAAGTTGAAGTATTGTAAAACAAATCTACCAAAATAAAGTATTGTAAAACAAAGCGTAGTGTTGTGAATTTAGGGAATGTATGAAAGACACAAGCGATGGATCTCTCTTTTTTATAGTAGTATGTATATAAACTAACATGTCAAAGAAGTTACTGCCTAGCTGTTTGTATTCTTCTATTGTGGTACTACTAATTGGTAAAGTTTCATTGCTATATATAAAACGATTTGGGTGAAATCATGAAGGGGAGTGTTTTTCGCTTTTGATGCTGACTGCAAGGAAATAAGTGCTTTGAAAAAGTTGGAAAATTATGTAAATAGCTATTAAAGCTGTTTAGTTGGATGGACACAAAACATATTTTGAGGGGGCTTGACAATTATTATGATTGTTGTATTTGTACGTCCTATAGTATCTATTTGTGCCATCTTTATGATTTATCTCCCTTTTGTATCACTAGTTCAATAATTTATAACTAATCTGATTCATAGCAAGGTTTATCTATTCTGGTAGGTGGGCTTGTTGAAATTTTATAGGTAAATAATTTGTAAATGGATATTATGTTACTCAGATTTAGTTTTGTTCTTTTTGAATTGTGTGTGTTTGATTCTTTGGTTCTTCTGTTCGTTTGAGGCTTGCTTTTTCTTTGATTGATTTATTATTTTAAGCCAACTAAACGTAACTCCAGTAATTGATTCGATTGATTTCGTCCAGGTTTTGCTACTGAAACACTGTTCCACACAAAAGAGAACAGCCTTATTCCTGAAATATCAGCAACTGTTGCAGCTGTTAAGAACCCTTCTTCTAAGATTGTATATGATGAACACAACCATGAACGATTTCCTCCTGGTGACCCAAGCAAGAAGGCATTTGTCTACTTTGCCCTAACAGGTGGTAGGTTTGTTTATGCCTCTCTAGTCCGTCTCCTTATCCTCAAGTTTGTGCTCAGCATGTCAGCAAGTAAGGATGTTCTTGCTCTGGCTTCACTTGAAGTTGATCTCTCCAGCATTGAGCCAGGCACTACTGTGACTGTTAAGTGGCGTGGAAAGCCAGTATTCATCAGGCGCAGAACAGATGATGATATTCAGCTGGCAAACAGTGTTGATGTTGGATCCCTTCGTGATCCCCAGCAGGATTCAGAGAGAGTCAAGAACCCAGAATGGCTCATTGTGATTGGGGTTTGCACCCATTTGGGTTGCATTCCCTTGCCGAACGCTGGTGACTACGGTGGATGGTTTTGCCCATGCCATGGTTCCCATTATGATATTTCTGGCAGAATTAGGAAGGGACCAGCACCATACAATCTGGAGGTACCAACTTACACCTTCTTGGAAGAAAACAAGTTGATGATTGGTTGAAAACCTCGGGTTGCGCCCTAGCGGAATGAGCCTACAATTTTTTTGATTTATTGGATAATGTTGAAATGCGTAATGGACATTTTTGGCCATAGAGTCCTTATTTGTTATCTTTGACAAGTGTTTATGTCATTCGGAAATTCAAGTCACTGTTGACGAGACTTTTATCAATAATCGCCCGGCTTTTTGGTAGTCATATGAATGTTAAAAATCTGATGATTCAAGGCTTATTGTATTTTATTTTATTTTTCATATCGTGTGCATCATTTGGAAATCTGCTCAGCAAATAGGCGTTTTGCTTATGCGTACGACATTGTGTTGTGTCGTGTATTCAACAAATTAAACTAGTCACTAAACATGCTATATATAACATACTTCTTTAACAGATAGAATCATAATTATTTTAGTTAACTAAATTGGTGTGTCTGAGGCGATACTCAAGTGTGTCAGCTGGCTGGTTGTTCATACTGGTTCACCACATTTGTTCCAGCTGGGGCCTTTTTTATAGGTCCAGTCGATGATTTCTTTACATTCCGTTCTGCTGTCTTCCTGAAATGTGTCATCTTTCGAAGACGCCTTTAACATAAACCATGCCCTTTTCACTAAACTTGAGTTCCTTTCTCATTTGCTCGACTTGTTGGTCATCACCTTGAACGATGATCTCTGATAAGGTCCCATTTTCTTCAACCATCAGTTTCACCTTAATCTGCTCCTTTCTTGATGCTCGATTCCAGTAATAAGCGCCTCTGAGTAAATTCCCAAAGCATCAGTAATCTAGATATTAGTACACTCTCTGGACTATGTACATTCACTCTAAACTCCAAATAATAATAATAATATTAATAATAATAATGTAAATTGTCAAAGTTTTCACTTACGCCAATGGACTTAAGATGGTAATCCAAAACCAGTTATTGCCAACATCCGGGATGGTTATGGTAAGCACAAGAGCCACACTTGCCAGGCTGATGCAAGTGCAGAAAGTTAATAGTGCTGCTTGGCCCCTGCTGGGAACCATCATTCCTTCAAACCTTCAAAGAAGAACCACGAAAACTTGTATTAGATGTCTACCTTCATTCAAATTAATGATTAAAAAGCAAAAAGTCATAAGAAGGGCATAAAAAGAAAATGGTTCTTACGCATTGTTTCTTCTTAAACCATCTCTTACAATATTAGAGATTGGCTTTAGTATACGTTAGAATATCTAATGTAGATTAGTAGTTTCTTACCCAATAAAAAGAATGATTAAATTAGTAATTTCCAAACTGCTGATTTCATCAATGGTTAAATGTTACTCCTGCTGCCAAACATGTTTCATAAATGGAAGCCAAATTTATTTCATTGTGCTCTAGCCACTAGACATGCAAAGAAAAGGCATAAGAAAGCAAGAATGAACAATTAAATTGCTGAGATTGAAACTGAGGAGAATGTTATGCTAACTTACGTGATTGTTTCTCCTCTATCTGTCACTGCAAAGTTGTTACGAGTGAAGAATGATAGTATCTCCCCTGCAACCACATTTGGTGCCTTCTTTTCACCTTCCCCTATAAAAGTCTTCTTCACAATCTATTTTTTTTTTCAACCAATCATATCAGACATTAACAACAACAACAACAACAACAACAATTAACCAAAAAAGGATGTAAACATATAAAAATATAAAGAGTGAGAAAGAATTACTTTGGATTTGACCGAACGTTTGATGAGGGACCAAAGGCCAGGCACAGATATAACAAAGAGACCCAGAGAAGTATAATAACTGGCCAAAGAGTAACCGACACTTTCTGCAAGCAACACCAAAGAATAAGGGTTTAGTTGTTGTTGGTGGATGATGTAGTCGGCAACAACTGAAGATGATGATGAAGGGTCATGAAGGGACACATGAAGCTTCTTTGGTCTTGGAGGGTGTTGCTGCCACCCCAACCAAGGTTGTACTTGGTGGGTCTTGGCATGAAATGAAAGAGAACAAAGAGAGTGTGTATGTGGTGATAATAACATCTTAGCTGCCATTGTTGTTGCAGAGAACGGATAGGGTGGATTGTTATCTGAGTTGGGTTTAGCATTTATATATGGTAAATGGTCAGTTGCTTTAATGGTCTAGATTCATTGGAGCGATGATGCTTTGACGGTCTAGATGGATATGACGTTATCCTACATTTAGTACACATATCTTGGTGATAAATTTTGGAAAATCTACGTAGAAAAAAGTTTCTTGGAGCAACTGATTTTAATTATATATCATCAGTAATATATAGTTATAATAGTAAAATTATTATTTTTTCTCTGTCATATCAATCGATAATATCTGAGAATAGAGCAAAAAAAAAATACTTATTATTGTAACTAAATATTATTCCTAATACATAATTGTAATCAGTTGCACCCTAAATTTTAATTTGTGTACAGTATTAAAAGTTATTCTTTCTTTTCTTTTTAAAACACTAGCAAATTAGCAATGACACTTTTGATGCGGATCAATTAAAACAATTAGTTTAAATAATTTAAATTTGTTTCAAAAAAATTTAAAGTAACGAGTGGATAGAGATAAAATAATACATTTATGATTTTTATATATTGTTTTAGTTATATTATTATTTTTTAATAAAACAAAAAATATTTTTTCAATGAAGAACAGTAGAATTATATTGTAGGGTATACACTCAGAGATATCTTAGAAATAAATATATTTGTTGATTTATAGCCAATATCTCAATCAGTGTGCACACGCAATATGTTTATAGCCAAGATGTGGATGTGTATACAGTGTTGGCAGTAGTAGTAAATGAGTTTAGTATGTGTATCTGGGAGTTTTTAGCCTTCTATTTATAGGGATTACCTTTTGATCTCCAAGTTAATGTAGAATTTAACCTCTTATTTGTAGGGATAAGAGTTTTATCTCCTTATTTTTATCATCTTATACTGTTAAGATAATTGTGTCATTATTTATTGAGAGATTCATGGGTAGGTGGTTAAGATATGAGTTTATTCCGTAACAAATTTAGAAGAGCAAGGAAATGTTAAATTAGATTATGGTGGAGTATCATTTTTTTTTTTTAAATACCAACAATTATTCGAAGCTCTAATGAATTTCATTAATTCGATTTCAAGTTTAAATCTCTCTACACTTCCTTAATAATTTTGTCATTTTTTTCACATACGAAAAGTGTTGACTTTATATTAATATAAGTAATTACCACATGTCTTGAATGTTTATTTTTAAATTTAAGTAAAATTAAAAAATATTCAATAATCCTTCGTAACTCATTCCAATTATCAATAGGACCCAATTTAAAATGAGATATCAATTTTTTATTCATATATTAATTTAAATGAATTAATATTTTTTCTAAAAACTGAATATAACCTTTTTTTTTTTTTTAGAAATATTTCAATCATTTTATTACTTTACGACTAATTCGATTCGAAATAAATTACGAAATTAAAACTTTAAATTTTTTCTTAAAATAATACTAAAAAAGATCGAGTACGTGTACTCAGGCCCATCAGTAGCCTTATTTTCTGTTTTTTTTTTTTTTTTGGTACATACCTTATTTTCTGCTTTTACATGAAAGTAAATGAGATTGACTTTCTTTTTCTTTTTTCGTTTGGCTCCACGCACGGTTACGTGTGTGCAAAAGATTAAACTATTTATTATTATTTACTATGTATGAATAGCATCACGTGACACATATTTTTTTTAATTTAATAATTTAAAAAAATTAGAGAATTAGTACTTGTCGACTAGGCCTTGATCCATTTCCAATTTTCTTTTTTTTGAATTAAACAATTTTTTTAATAAAAAAATATTTGAACACCCCATTAAAAATTATATTCGCAGTGACCATAACAATTAACAAATGATTAAATTCATCGAGGTTTGACCCGATACGGGTCAAACAGCCCCCACTTCTGATCCTCACAGAGACACACAAACACAAACACTAAAATTGTGGTGTGTCTTCTTTCCGTTACTTCAAACCCCCATCGTATAATCCGAAACAACCTTCTCTCTCTCCTTCTCTTTCTCGCTCTTAGGTTATCGTTATCTTCTTCTCTGCAATTTCAATCCTTCTCCGAATTTTTCTTCCTTCCTTTTGCTCTGCATATTACTATCTTCTTCTTTCCCTCTCACTAGCGCCCACAATTTTTCACTGGTAATTTTATTTATTTATTTGTTTATTACGATAGCTTCTCATTATTATCTTACGTATGTTTTAAACCTCTGGTCTTTAGGGTTTCGTTATTCAGATTCCAAACAAGGTAACTTTTGATATTTGGTTTCTTCGTCATTTTTGAATTTCGATATGTAGTTTTTTTTTTCATCCACCCCGGGGCTAGTTGTTCGTGGGTTACCTTCGCAGGAAATCTTTCAATGTGTGAGGTTTACTATCTTTTTTATGTTTTTCTTCTTCTGGTAATTATTTGGTGATATTTTTTTTCATTTAATTTTTTTTGTGAAGAGAGGGGGGACTGAAGTGTAAGGGTAGTAAAATTGTGCAATAGGTTTACTTCTTTTGGGGATTTAGATATTGAATATGATGTTGAAACAAAACAAGCACACAGAAATTATGCTAAATTGAAAATTGGGAATGATAAAGTGAATTCCTTGTTCTCAAATTGATTATTAAAATAATAGAAAATTCAACAACTACTAAAGCTAGGTGTGAAGGACTTAAGGGGGAGAGCCTCTACGTTAAACACGGGAGTTCCAATTTGGGACTCATGCTCTAGTGCTGTGTTTCAAACCTTGTTGGATAGGAAAGACTGGACTGACAAAGCGGCCTCTTATACCAATTTTTGTAGAGGAGAACCCCCTCCAAATAACAAGGCTTTTTAGTGGAGTTTTGTGTCTCACTCCCGGCCAATGTGGGATTCACGCCCTCATACCATTCGGATTTGGTGATTGTGTGTTGCGTTGTAGTTCTCATAGTTATCAAATGCGGATTGCGGCATGTCGCGGCCAACCCCGAAAAACGCTATAGCGTTATAGCGGGTTGCGGTTGCGGTTGCAGAAATAGCGGAATAGATATATGACAGAAATAATGACAAAAAGAAACATTTTTTAAAGGCAGAGATAGTAGAAGAGAGATACGCGGAGAGACTAAAAAACCCTTAAATTTTTTCTGTTACACATTTAAATTTAGGACAAAATTGAAATTTTGCCTTATGACAGCAATATGGCCGCAAATGCGATCGCAATGACCATTATTGCGTTCTGGTGCGGCGCGGAGCGATTTCTTGTGGTGAGGCACCGCAACGCCTATACAACGTGACTCGCGGCGCTATTGCGGCGCAATTAACTACTACTAGTTCTGTTATAATTACCTGTTAGGGAGGCTGATTTGTGTTGGTTAACATCTGCTGCATACTTCTGCTGATGTTATTCCAATATGATATGTGGGTCTTGTAGAAAGTTATAAAAATTCTTTGTAACAATGATAACGACAACAGCTACCACCAAAGTCTCATTTTCCATCACCTGTCTCTCCTCTCTGGAATGGCTATGGAATCAAGGTCCGGAGTTGAATCTTTTTCTAAAGAACTAAGCAGTCCTTATTCCTGTGGAATAGATGTAGGAATGGAATGACAATTTCATGTACCAAATATGCTCTATTTTTGTACCCCTGAACCTTGATTTCTATGGTAACCGGTACGGGCATGGATTTGCTTTGTTCAAACCTGGGAATGGCTTAGTTCAAACCTTTTAATACAATTAGTGAATTTTACCAAATGAAATTGCAATTGTATAGATAGAAAATAATGTCTAACTTCTCTGAATGTTTGGGTTTGGACTTGGAGAATTATTATATAATTCAGATTCTTTTCCTTTGGAACTTGTTAGGTTGCTTATGGATGAAAGATGTTCATTAAAAGTGAGCAAATTGGAGTTTTCCTTGATACTTGTTTAGTGTTTTGTTGAAGAACATTTCATCCTATGCGCCCATGGCTGCTGATCAGAGAAGAAAACGATCAAATGGTGCAAGCGTGGTTAGTTGTGGTTATCCAGAGCAACACAGGACTAAAAGAAAGAATTTGGGACTAGTGAGAAGTGATTTAGCCATGAAATCTCACGTTTCTGTTGAGTGGGATGGTAATCAGCAAAGGGTTGTTGCCAAGCGGGAACAGATTGGCATCAGTTGGAGACAAATGAGACCATTTGCTAATTTTGTCCCTAATGGACACAAAATCTTGGCAGATGTGCTTGCCATACCTCAAGAAATTTTTGGCTTGGATAATTTAAATGAAGTGATTTCGTATGAGGTAACTATCATGTTGTAGTCAGTTCCGACTATCTGCAGCTGAAAATAGTATTTTTTCCCTTAATTCTAAATTCTTTTGTGAACCTTTTGGCAGGTTTGGAACACACACCTTTCAGACAACGAGAGAAATCTTCTTATGCAATTTCTTCCTAGTGACTTAGATCCACATCAAGTTGTCCAAGAAATACTTTCTGGGGACAACTTTCACTTTGGAAACCCTTTCATGAAATGGCAAGATCTTTTTCTCAATATTTTCATTCTTGAGACAAGATCTGCTGTATTCAGTATGTGTGTGGTTGATCTGACTGTATTCATCTGTGCACACATAAATATATGCTAAATGTGCCAATTTCTTATTTGGATACTGTTAAGGTATTATACATCGACGTAATATTGTAAGCAGGCTTATTATTATTGTTTGTGTTGAGTTAACCAGATTTTCCAGAGGGAGAGTCTGGAGCAGTGGTAAAATTGTTCCTTTGTGATTGAAAAGTCAAGGTTTTGAATCCGGGAAATAATCTCTTTGCAAATATGCAAGGGTAAGGCTGCATATAAGGATTGCCCTAACCCCACTCTTGCTAGGTAGGGTTTAATTGGAAGTGGTTTAGTTAATCAGATTTTCCAACTACATATTTTGGTATAGATCCTATTTGTTTGATTTTGTGAAATTTGATCTAGATTTAATTATATCTTACAGCATACCAACAAGTTTCTAGTTTGGTTGAACTTTTGTAACTCTAGGGATCTAATTTGGTTGTATTTACT